AGTTTATAAATAGACTAAATAAAAAAATTGTTTTTTTCTTTAAGAACATTAAAGACTTGTCAATTTATTAGGCCTGTATCAGATGGGATTGCTAAGTCTGCAACACAGTATTCTTCATTTCCATCTTTCCTATGCTGAGAAAGTGTCATCTATGCCTGTACATTCGCAGCAAGTCTCCTATTTTACTTCAGAATTTTTAAAAAGGAAATACAGATTTGTTTTTGGTTTTTTGGCATACAGATTCTCCATTTGCCCATGATCAGTAAAACAATTTATTTGCCCAGGAACACACAAAGTGTACTCAACTGGAGGGTAATTTAGATTCTTTCAAAATGACTGCTTCATTTAATAGATCTAATGTTTTCCTCAATGCAGGGTGTATGTGTATTTGCCTATGACTGAAGAAGTGATGAAAGTGATGAAGTGATTCTATAAGGGATTAAGCATTGCTTTTGTGGGTTATTTAAAAATGAAAACATAGAACTATATCAAAATCAATCTACCCATCCGTACTGGATGCAAGAACTCTCAATTTTCAGTAAAATAACATCTCCGACAAATTATTTCCAGAAGACGCAGCTAAGACACCTTCTTTCTGATGGATATGCCTTCTGGGCACAAAAAAATAATGGGTAATTTATAAAGGTTGGAACTTGTATAACCATGTCTGCATTCCTTTTTAAATCATGGACTTCACAGAAGCAGCCATGGGAACCAAGTCTGTCTTCTTGTATAATTGTATGTTTAGTTCTTTCAGAGGTCAGAACTCTGAACTCCAAATACTTGAACCAGAAGTGCTTATAACTTTTCAGTACCAAGTTTTCATTTCTCTTACCAAATCCAGTTTTCCCCTCATAGGTCATTAGAATTGCTATTTAAAATCCAATAATATTTTGACTCAAAAACAGAAACTGTGCGTCTGTGTGTGTTGCCAGTTCTTGAATGGTAGTGATATCTCTGCAAAATTACCTATATCAGACAAGCTCTGTTTCAGACAACCATAATGGCGTCTCCTTTTAACATGGGAGAAATTATACAAAGAGGGGATGATGACCCAGCAGCAAGATAAACCAATTTCAGGCTAAAATCTTTCAGGATGAAATATTACACACTTGGGAACTCAAAGGGACTTCTGAGTCGACATGTGTAGAACTGCATTGTATAGGATTGCTTGCTCCAAAGTAAGTGTGGATAGGATTGTATCTTTTGCGTTGAATTGAATGTGTACCTAATATTCCTGCACATTCACAGTGAATGATGAAGTCAATCAATCTTACAGAATCACACATGGCCGGCCCAAGACATTTTGCTGCCTGAGGCAAAAGATAATGTGGCACCTTCCCATTCCACATTCATCAGCCAGCTGGAATGGCAATTGAATTGTGGTCCTCTAATACACATGAGAAGGGACGTGGGTGGCGCTGTGGGTTAAACCACAGAGCCTAGGGCTTGCCGATCAGAAGGTTGGCAGTTCAAATCCCCGTGATGGGGTGAGCTCCCACTGCTCGGTCCCTGCTCCTGCCAACCTAGCAGTTTGAAAGCACAAAGTGCAAGTAAATAAATAGGTACCCCTCTGGTGGGAAGGTAAACAGCGTTTCCGTGTGCTGCTCTGGTTCGCCAGAAGCAGCTTAGTCATGCTGGCCACATGACCCGGAAGCTGTACGCCGGTTCCCTCGGCCAGTAAAGTGAGATGAGCGCCGCAACCCCAGAGTCATCTGTGACTGGACCTGTCAGGGGTCCCTTTACCTAATACACATGAGAGTAGCAGGGTACTTATGGGGGTGCATGAAAGGCTGCATGGCACATGCAGCTCTGTCCTCCAACATAAGGTGATGCCTAGGGAGCTCAGGAGGATCAACTGGGTCAGGGGAACCTCCACTGCTGTCCTTCCACATCTGATGCCACTTTGCCTAATGATAGGGCTGGCCATAGACTCACAGGATATAAACTGAACATAACTGTATCAAAAGTACAAAGGTTTAATAGTTGCTTTCGGCCTTTCCACCAACTTAGATTACTCATCTGAAACGCTGATTATTTTTGTGTAACTCATCCAAATAGAATAAGCACAGATAAAGGTTAGAGAGGCTGCTGACAACTTTTAAAGGTGAAGTTATAAAGTGCATTCAGATGTCCAGTTATTGAGTTCATGGCAGTGGTAAAGCATAACAGGAAGACCTATTCAGACAGAGAGGTGTGAAGTTGAAGAAAAACACTGAGAACTGAATAAAGGAAGCAAGAAAGGACTGATATTCCAGAAGGGGAAAGTGTGGTAAACAGAGGTTAAAATGCCCGAAAAGTACTGGCATTCACAAGGCTACTGGAGAAACAGAAACATTAGCATCTCATAATTTATTTGATCTTTTTACATCCCAGGAAAACATCTGGTACAATAAGTAGGTCTCAACTAAGTGGAAGCAACTAAATAAATACTTATATTATACTAAACAAATAGTTATCTTGTACTAATTTAATTTCCAGCAGGTATTTTGGTGCAGAAAAATCACACTGCAAAATCCCTTATTGTGTTAGAAATCTAACCGTTTCTTTTTTCAATTGAAATTTTGGCATGCATGCTGGACCAATTGTTATTGCAAAGCTCTTAGGTATCTGAAGCCTCTGCTTCCAAGCAATGTGTTGGGGTGTTCCTCCCAAATTTTGTCAGTTTTATTGGCTGAGTATCGGCTAGGCAGAGGGGAGAAATTCAATTCAGTTTGCAGTTAAAAGTGAACCTATCTAATTCACCTTTTCCAAAAAAATACGCAAACCATAATACAGCCATCCTTCAAAATCTGCACTTGTCTGAATCTTCCAATAAAGTTATTCAGCCGCAAAATGTGTCCAAAAATGCTTATCATGGGATAAAGCGTGTATATATTTGTGAAAAGAGCATTTTTTAAAAGCCTTATGTCTGGCTGCATATAAGTGCAGAAGCGTGCACTTAGACAAAAATGTATACAAAAATGTTGGTATTTAGGAGAAATTTGCACTGAAATGCTGATGAATTTTCAGGTGTGCTATAATAATCATAATGATAATAATGATGGTGGTAATAATAATAATAATAATAATAGCCACAGCAGTCTGGAAATGTGGAGAACAGACCTTAAGCCTGGAAATACTGAGAAATGGAGAGAAACTCAAACTAACAGATTCACCATTCCCTAGTAACAAAATAATTTTTCACGGTCACCTACTAAATTTCTTGTTGAGCTGAGGTCATTGTAAGAGAACTGTCAGGGCATGCTCTCTGCTCCATCTTCTAACCAATAACTGGATACTGTGAACACCGTATCAAAGCTGTGCAATACTGAAATTCATGCTGGAATACAAGAAAGCCAAAATCCCATGCTCATTGCTTTGAAATAAAAACTATTCACACCAATGGAAGCCATATAGTGTGTTTTGATTCACATTAGTCATATGCTTAAAATAAAATGACCATTAGGATTAGGCTGCAATAAGTGCATTGACCAGGGACATTGAACACAGTTCTTTTGTCAGCAAGCATGCTTAGGACCACATTGATGATCTGTTGAAAGTAGGTAATATTTGCGAGTGGCAAGCTGGAAAGATAAAGTATATTCTGGCTCTACACACTTTAATAATCTCTGCAAAACACAAAGATATCTTGCAAGAAAACTGGCTGTCATCACTGCTATTCAGGAATGAACCACAAGACTGGAGATGCTCTCCTGCTCTTAGGAATTCCTCCACAATGCCATATAAAAATGTTTAATATGATATCTAGTTGAAACCAACGAGGCCAGGGAAAATATCCAGTTTAAGCCAAAGCTTACATCTTCTAATACATTTCCTATTTCAAAAAGCTGTTGTCCAGCTTAACTTTCTGGAAAACTGGGAACTTATTATTTAAAGAGAGTTGAAATCTGGATACTAGCTATATCCATTATGGAGACTGGATAACAATGATCTATGTATCCGGAGAATTACAGAAAAATCTGTGTAAACTCTTCTAGCCACTGAAATTTATCATTCTTGTTTCAGACCCAACTTATCCTATTCTCTGTTATGAAGTCTGATCCCAGTACAAATTACAGCCCAGCCAATTCTATCTGTCTCAGCTGTTCTCATGCTTTTAAAATGTATTTGTTTTAGAATAGGAAGATGTGGGTTTTGGTTGTTATGCATGTTTAGGCCTGGCACTGCAAAGACTCACTGATGTTTTGATTCTTGTCTTTTAACTGATGGCCTGGTTACCAGGAACCTATAATTGACCTCCTGTTATTTAACTCTAAACAAAACAATATTAGTGTCGAAACTTCAAGCTTTTTAACAGAATAAATGTCACTGCCTTTTCCAGATGGTGTTCTTGAATTGCCCTTGTGCATGCTTCAGAAGAATCGTAAAAGGAAAACATTTGGCACGTAAATAAAACTTCGGGATTCTTACCACGGAGAACCCACATTCATCTCCCACTTGAGCAACTCAAGCTCCAATCCTGTTGCTTTACAATATTTTCCCAGTGTAACTACCTGGGAAATGCTTTTGATGTGACAGAACTCTGTGATTTAGCAGTTCTCCATTTCCATTGTGCAGATGTTGAGCTGATCGTTATGATTTGCCCAAGGCTTCCCAAAGAATCTACGGGCATACTGGGTCCCAATACAACCCTATTTACTGAATCCAGTACCTGTTCCAAGCTGTCAGGTGCCCTAAAGGAAGATCAGAAGTGATGTTAGGCTCCTGCTAAGACCCACACCAATTCACTGCTGATCCCTGGGTTTTCTTGGCCGTGCTCCTCTTCCTTCTTCTCTAACTGTTGCTGTTGCTCACTTGTCCTCTGCTACAATGCAAGTAGTGACAAGAGTGAGGAGATGGTGCATTGTCCTTCACCTGCCTTGCCTCCTGTCTATGAGCAGGTGTGAAAATGTGACTAGCGCATGGAGAGAAAGAGGATGGGTCATTCAGAGAGTGAGGATCATTGAGAGCATCTTGTCCAAGGGGCTCCAAAAAACCCAGAGTAGGCCCTGGGCAAGACAGCACAGATGGTAGAGCATGAGACTCTCAATCTTGGGGTCATGGGTTTGAGCCCCATGTTAAGTAAAAGATTCCTGCATTGCAGGACATTGGACCCTTGTGGTCCTTTCCAACTCTACACTTCTATGATTCTAAGATGCTCTTAGTAGGCCCTGCTCTTGAGTGTGCCCAGCTCTTCCTTGGTACTGTTGCCAGACACTTCATATTCTCTTATCTTTTAGCAATCATTTTCTGACAAGGAACTTCTGACTGCTCCAGCTATTATGCTGTGTTCTTGTTCTTCCTAGGGAAGAACTGCTGCGCTGAACATCCAAAGTAATTTTCGTGCCATCTGTTTTGTAATAGTCTATAGTGCCATAATTTCTGACCATTATTTTGTGAGCTTAATTGAACTCTCTCAATCAGATGTTAATTTAAACTGATATTAAATCCTGAACTATTAGTGGATACCCCAGAACTGGATTAATAAGTACACACAAGACAAAGCAATATGTCCTTGCTCATTGTGACTGAGTGTGCCAACTAATATGATGTTCTAACTTTCAAGGCATGGAAGAAAAGATCAGAGGAGAAGAAAGACAGCTCACTTGTATTGACGTGATCCTAGAACATGCATTATCTGTATGAATTATTGTTTGCTGATTTGTCTTGACTAAGCTCATTGTGGGCAATTGATGCTTTAGTGCTCATAGCCCTTCCCCTTTCCCAACGTGGTTTCATAATCATTCCTTCTTCACAGGGAACTCTGGAAATTGTAGCTCTGTGAGGTAACTATGGGTCTTCTAACAATACTCAGCACCCCAAACAAACTGCAGTTCCAGAATTCTTTGGTGGAAGCCATGACTGTTTAAAGTGGTAACATAGTGCTGAAAAAGTATAGTGTGGATGTGACCAAGGTCTCATTGTTGGCATCCTCTGTTTTGGGAGACAATGGAGAGGTGTGCCTTTGAGAGCATTTGAGAGTTACAGAGCCTGCTGTGGCTGTAGAGACCAGCACAGGATAGTCATGTTTTGTTGCAGCTGGGGCAGATGAAGGCATCCTGTTGTGCTGCTGCAGATGCACCATGGCGTTTCTTCTCATTGATCACTATATTTAGTCAGGACTTGAAGTTTATTTCCTGTCTTAAGTTCCTTGCTAAGCATATAAAGTCCAGCAGTTCAAAAGACCCACAGCACTGCAAAAGGATTTAACAATTGGTTTTATTTCTGCTTGATTACTTGTATGTTGTTTTGCTTCCAGTGGGCTGTGTTTGATACAGTGAAGCAGAAAAAATGCATGGTTTAACCTTCACAAATGGTTGACTTGGGGATGTTACTGACAGCATCAGTTTCATAGAAAGAAAGCATCTCAGTGCATATCAAGGGAAATATAGCATGTTGTATTCTATCCCATGTTCTTCATTATATATCCCCATGGCTCATGTAGGAAATTGGTACAAATTGGACTAGTGGGATGGAATCAGTTAGAATGGTAAAGGCAAAGCAAACCTGACCTTCCAAGTTATTGTGGTTTCCACAGTACAAGCAATTCAAAATGTCGTAAGAAAGAGTTACATACCATTGTGATTACTTGTTTGTACATCATAGCCTTTGGAGTCATCTTCAAGTTTACAGTAATTCAGGGAAAACAATGCAATCAAATTATTCTTAACAATGCTGAACATGCAACTAAAGATAATTTGTTAAAAGGTTTATGTAACTAATTGTAAATGGAAATATGAGCTGATTTATGAACCAAAGCCAACATGGCTGTCTTCACTTCTTCTTATTTTATTTCTTTTATTTTAGAGGACAAGGAATGTCAAAGACACGTAAACCCAGGCAAAAGCCTTTTTGTTAACTCTTGGTTTAAAATTTTAATCCAAACTCATGTTTGACATGGCTGGTCTGCTTTATTGTTTATAGTTAATTTATTGCTGCTTTCAATTGTTTGGATATGTTTTATGTCCTCTAAACAGCACTGAGAAGTCTGCTATCAAGGGATATACAAATATAATTAAATAAATGACTAGTGACAATTCAATCACTCGAATAAAACAAAGAAGGGAAGAGAAGCAAAGCGAGGGAATCTTTAAAATGTGTTACTGCAGCCACTAAATCTTAAAACAGTGAATTAAGAGTAATAATCATTTGAGAATTCAATAAAAGATAAATTGAAAACTATTAATAATGAACCTTCATACTGGTGCACATTTTTGAAACAAATATTGGGTAGATCCAAGCCATACATTTTAGAGCATATCCAATGCACACTTAAAGCTCATTACTTCTCCCAAAGATTCCCAGGAACTGTAGCCATGTGCATTAAATGTGTGTTGGGAGTCTATCTTCTGTAATAAAGTCTATTGGAGGTCTTACACTTCAGAAGCTGAGCTTAGTGAGACTTATAAGATTGTAGCCTTAAAGTATTTTGATTGGTTTATCTTGGTGCTGATGTCAGTAAGAAATGCATAGGCCAACTCATAGGAGGATTCCTGTAGGAACACAGTGATAATTAGATGCTTCATAAGGCAATACAGGACCCAGACAATGTGGGGCATTTTCTCTGGTCCCAGGCACTTCATCCTCCCTATGCAGTTTTGGACCTGAAAGACCAAGGAAAAGTGTGGGTTTGTATAAGCAAGCACAATGTGTGTCATTGCACAACATCATTACTGATTATGGAGCATCAGCATTAGCTTCCAGTTTTCCAGTTTTTGTGCCAAGATGAGAGAGCCAGCATACAAAATGCATTGGGGGAAATCGCTTGCTAAGATGTATCATTAGGCAAACATGCACACACAAAAAATGTGTATATTTGGGGGGGGATCACTCTGTTCATTTGGGTTTTTAAAAATGGAATTTACAAACTGATGTGAAGAACTGGACTTAAGAAAAATGAGAAACTGATTCACCCATTCCCCACCTCACCTTCAAACTGAGTGGCTTGAACAAGTAGTTCAGTGAATGCAGAAAATTATGGCCAGTCCTTCTAAAGAGAAGAGAGTTCATAACAGTTCTAAACCGCAGAATTCACTTTCCAGTAAAATACCAAAAGCAGGGGAAAGAGAATTTGCAAACAAAAAAGTAGGAGAATGTTAACAGAAACTTATTCTACAAACATGGTTTCCACTGAAAAAAATGCCTGTGGATATATTTTTTAACCACACTGACTCAGTAAGTCCAAGGTCTTTCCAGTATACCATTACAGCAAACCGAAAACTACACTGCAAAGGAAAGTCAGCTGCTGGCCAAATGGCATGCTACTCATTCAACCAAGGCTGCCAATACCAGACTGAATTCATTTTGAATCCTTTTGAAACCAAGTCCCAGGGTGCTTAACACCTTCTCCATCAAAACAGTTTAAAAGCAGCATGCACATCCAATCCCCCTCTTATTTTAGCTCCATATTTAAAAACTTTTTTTTACATATTTTATTAGGCAACAGCTGGTTTGGGAGATGGCAAATATCATTTACAGCAAGACAGTTTCTTTCCAAGACTCCTTAACAATGTAATCCTATGAGTGTCTACTCAGATGTGAGTCCCACTAAGTTCATTGGGACTTACTTACATATAATGTGTATAGCTCAGCATTCTTAATTGCCATTTTAAAGCCTCAAGTTACTGCTATCCTGATCCTATATAAAGTAGCCAATGCTTTTTGACCTCATGGCCACATCCACCATTTTTCAACTTCTGAGGCCTGCATGCCCTCACGTATGAAAATTCCACATGCACAAGCACACAACACAAAAACAGAACTCTGCGCAGTCCAGCACTGAAACAGGAATGCAAGCTGTGCCTTTCCCATTAATAAGATTAAGGAACGATGCAACAACATTTATTCAGCTTATGGGTATGCAAATTACTGCCTTCCAAAGTTCCAATCAGATTCCAAATGGTGAGGGATAATGTGCATCCTCATCAGGGCACAGATGCCTACTTTATTTAATTTTTTTCCTGCCACTTCAAAAAATAATGCGTCTTGGAGAGCTGAAAAGATTGCTTTGGCCTGACCCAGCTAACTATCCCTGTACGTATTACTCAAAGTCCAGCTATGTTTAATAGAGCCTATTCCTCAATAATATTCTTTGTTGCGCAAGAGTCATCATAGCAAAAGGCTCCATTAAAACCCATTCCATGTGACATTTAAATGCCAAGAAATAGTCACACTTCCGAAGGGGATTTACAATTGTTTTCTCTATAGCAACTGGACTAGATTTCATGTCTCCCCTGAGCCATGATATCCTCATGCTTGTCCAAAGGATCTACCAGCTTTCATCAGTGTGCAAGAAGATTTCAGCAGCTTGCATCACAGCCAAGTTAATTACATAGCATATTATCATTAGTGCATTGTCCAATCTCACATCCCTTAGCTTGTTAGTTCAATTTAAAAACATGGCTGTGATGGGAAAACTGATACTTTAGGCACGCACAGAATCCAATTATAAAATTGTTTGGCTGGCTGTCAGAGTCAAGCACCTAACCATTTTACATTTCCATATAAAGACAATATGCCTCCTTGCTCTCCCTCCCTATGGTTCTTTATCTTTGAATTGGACTTGGACCTGGCAGCCGTTCAAATACAGGACACCTTCAGATAGCAGAATCCTCTGTAAAATAGGGTTCATGACCACCCGATCCTCAACTGTATAAAATACCCAAAATATTCTCTTTTGGTGCAGCTAACTGCCAACTGTGTCTCTCTCCTTAGCAAGCCTAACATCGCGATTGTTGGGAGTCAGCCCCCTGTTTCATTATCTCTCTCGCAGAGGGCTGAGGCCAAGTCAGATACAGTTTTACCTCATGTACCATTTCAAGCCCAGGTGTTTTATTATAGCACCATGTGTAACTTACTCATTGTATATTCGTCGCTCTATGCTAGTAGTCCTTTCAGCCTTAAGTAAAGACACAGTCAAACCTTGGTTGTCGAACATAATCCATTCCAGAAGCCCATTCGGCTTCCAAAATGTCTGACAACCGAGGCAGGGCTTCCGGTTGGCTGTAGGAGCTTCCTGCACTCAAGCCTCATTGGAGATTCAGCTTCTGAAAAACATTCGAAAAACGGAACACTTACTTCCAGGT